AGCCCGTGGCCCTGTGAGGGTGAAAGGAGGGCAGGAGGGGTGGTAAGGTAGCTGCTAATTGGGAGAAATGGGGCTTAGACCGCAAGGTGGAAGGGAAGTGAAGACAGACTTTGCAGTTTGGTATGAGGTAGTCATCACAAGTATTTTCCTGGAAATCATTTAGGGCCGCCCTTGGCTTGATAGAGGGAATACTGTCTGGGCCCAATTCTGGTCACTTATAGAGAAGGCTGAGGAGTCTCTTTACCTCTTACTATACCAGGAGACTCCAAAACTTTTTGGGAAGACAGAAGTACAAGTTTACTATGGTGTAAACATTTTTTGAAATTTATGTACAGTGTATCTCATAATGCAGTTTCCATAGATTTTTAGCCTACCATGAAATTATGCTCTAACCAGATAATAAAATATCTAACCAGATAATAAGACAGTATGTATTTATTCAGCAAAGGAGCCTGAAGAGCTTGCTCTATTAGCTTTCATAATAAGACATATTACACACACAAAAAGGTGAGTGAAAGGTTTGGAACACTAGTTTTTGTTTTGTTTTTAAAGAATTATTTAACTTTATTTATTTATTTTAATTTTGAACAGACAGGGACAGAGCGAGAGAGGTAAAGTGAGAAAGCAAGCTGCCAGGTCTGGGACTCAAACCACGGTCAGCCATGTGGGAGTCCAGCGCCCTTAACCACCATGCCACTTGCCGGCCCCACTACTGTAGTTTTTTTGTATCTAGAGTTTCAATTAATCTAGTTATAAATTTGGATTATTTTTATTTCGATCATGCTCCCTGAAGAATGCTTTTAAATATCATTCTTGCTTTCATCGATTTAACCTCATAAATCGATTATAACCTTATGAAGTCATTTATAAAAATCCAAAATAACCATATCAAAATGAAATAAGAGCTGAGGTCATAAGTAAAAGGGGGATGTTACTTCTTGCTTAAAAGAGCGTTTTTGGTCTGCATGCAGATTTGAAGATATACTTTAAAGAAGGGTTACCTAGGGTATTTTTCTAATGTTATCTCTCTCCCACCAAAGATAACAATTAGGTGTCAGTCAGAATTTATTTTGGCTGGTTAAAAGCAAACCATTGAGCCAAATGAATAAGAAAGAGAAATGCTGATGTCAAAAGATAAAGTTCAACTGACCTCAACCCAGAACAAGGTCAGACAGAAGATCCACTGACTCACTCCCTGATTTATCCACCAAATTATCAGCCAGCATTAAAAACAAAAAGTTGGGTACATGTCACAATTGTCTCTAAATTACTGAGAGCCATTCATTCTGACCCAGTAATGGGGATTTGTCTCAGCTTGCACACATCTCTTAAAATAAGTATTCTAATTTTAACTTGATAGAATCTCAAAAGAGTCGTCCAGATCACAAGACATAGTCTGAACCCAAGCCAGCAATAATACTGCTTATGTTAGCCGTTAAAATTATCCCTGTGACCTGATGTTACCAAAAGATCAGATAGAATTTTCATGACTAGTTTAGCAGTTGAGAAATGCAGTCAGTAATATGTGGGTACGGCTACAAAGCTGTTTAGAACGGAAAAGCAGCTAATCCAGGACCGTACACACAGGAACAATTTTAGTTCTCACTAAGCTCTTTATAAGCAATGTTCAACTAGATACCAAGAAAGACAAAGACAGTCCGGCTTGTGTGACACTTCCCCGGGAAACCTGGCAGCACTGCCAAGCATCTTCTTGCCCACTTGAGTGACTCATGTCCTCACTGACATAGCCACTTGCTCGTGCACCTTCTGAGACTTGCCGATCCTGACACAAAACCTTTCCCCCCCAACCAGTGAGTTCCCTTTCCCCTCTCACCAAAAACAATTGTCTTATCTTCTTATAGTAGAAACCACTAGTCACAAATTCAAGTGCCCCAGGGGTGGGGCTTGCAAGAGAGAGGACCAGGTGAGATGAGAACCCTGGGGCACAAGAGTGTGTGACATTCCACCGCCAGGAGATAGGCTACTCAGCAGGGACCCATCCAATTGTTCCTTGCCTTTCAAGCTAACTGTGCTAAATAAAGTCTTGGCAATCAGAACAATGTCAGCATTCAAATCCTGACATTAACCAGCTAGACCAGTCCCAGTTAACTATACTACCTGGCAGGTTGGCCTCTCTTCACAAGATAGGTCAGGGAAAGACTCCCAGTGGCAGGCCACTAGGGAGACTGTCCTAAGTGTGGCCAGTCCCTACTGGCTGACCGCTCATTCAACCAAAACATATAGAGGTGGGACCCACCAGCATCTGTGCCCTGTACTCTGCCTTCCCTTGTATTATGGATGAGCTCCCCCAGCTGTTATTGGAAGCCAACCTCTCCCCTTGCGGCTAGGCCCCATGTCTTTTCGCCTACTCGAGGACATCACTCCAACATCTCCTCTCATTTTTCTGCATTGTTAGTGACACCTCAATGCCCCCTCAGTCCCATCAATATAACAGCATGCCATAAAATCTTCCATCTTTACAAGAAAATCACTAATACCCTCTCTTGACTCTACCTCTCACCTATTAGGTTGTCAGGAAAGTCATGATGTATTTGTCTATGCAGAAATGTGCTGTGACTACCTCCCC